ACTACATTTGTTTATTATATTAAACTGCCACGATAGAATTTAGAAAACTAAAAACAAAAATATTTTGGAAACTAGCATAGGTAATTTGAAAGAATAGACAAAAATGAATACAATAGTTTCCTCTTTTTTTTCTCATAGAAAAAAATCTAAAAAAGCTAACTTTTTGACGAGCATAGAAAAAAAGTACTATTTTTTATGCGTCGAGCATAAAGAGACTTTTATGCTCGAACATACATGTTTGCAGCATTCACTTAAAATATCTCTTTTCGTTCTTAATACAAAATGTATTATTAAAGTATTAATTTACTTGTATCTTCTAGAAATGTATTCTTCTAGAAATTTTACATTCAGTTGTTGATTTAGTTACACTCTCGACTGACAAACTGAACTAAATTATTATCTTGAGAAATAGTAAAATTAATTATGATAAAAATTCTACAATACTATTTCTGGGGAAAATAAATGTTTACCCATATGTTAAACCATTTGTTATAAAGATGTTTGGAGAGGGATAAATATTAGTACCGTGACAAATCAGACGATTCAATATCGGACAAATCTTTCGATTTTTTTTTCTTTCTTCGTTTATTATATTGCCGTTTTGTTTAAGTGATCACTTTGTGACGAAAGATCAGACGTATGTTTGACCTTATTCGCTTTTCTTTGAGCAAAGATAGATCTTCTAAAAACAATATTAAAGATTTTCATGACCGTACATAATATAAAAAGTATCAAGTAAAATTGCTGTCTTTGTTTGGAAATTGATTAAGTTGCAAAATAGTCTCTTAATTTTTCATTTATTAACTTTATTTCAATAAAAAGTATACTCATATTTAATTATATAAATAAAAAATATTTTACAGGATATACATCTTACTATAGCTACCTGTGTAAAATGACAACTTTATGACAATTTCAGTCATATTGTGGTGCTTGCCTAAATTTTATAAAATCATTAATTTTCTTTGATTTCCATCTTCGATTTCGATGAAGATCACTTGCATTTTGTATTTTCTGAATATCAAATTTTTAGTACTGTTTCCATAGTTCATCTTCATCTTCAAATTTGACAACATATCAACTTATTTGCAAGTGAGATGTTAATTTGTTTACAATTATACTTATTGTATATATTCAGTAAAAAAGATAATTGTATAAGATAAAGTTATAAAACATAATGGATATATTAGATAAAAAAATATATTAATTTTAATATATTAATTTTAACTAGACAATATAATTGTATATTTGTATAACTGTATATTTTTTTATAAAGTTTTTAATGTAATGTAAACTAAAAGTTACGTGTAAAAATATATTTTTTCACAAATAAAAATTCATTAAAATCAATGGTTTTAAAAATGCATTAAAACCATGATTTAAATCAATGGTTTAAATCACTTAATTTAGACTAAACCAATCTTGTCACTTTGATTTATAAATGTAACATTGGAAATGAGATATATCGATTATTGGGAATAAGAACTACTAATTTTTTATTGCGTAATAGATTCACATTTTCAATAAACTATCAACTTTTCGAATATATTGTATATCAAAAAGGACTGATGAACATGATTTAGTATAAAAAATCTTCATGTCTTTTATACATGTATTCTACAACATTTTAACATTTTCATAGCAACAAAAATTTTTTACTTCAACAATAGTTTTATCCTTAAGTTCAATAAATCTATCAGCCTCTTTTGAAATGTGTTTGCAATAGTTGACAGTTTGATATTTTTTATACTGAAGTGAAATACAACTCTCGATTTAAAAGCTTTTATGATTCTATATTTAATTTTGTAGGAGTCTTAATTGATTCTGTAACAGATTCTATAATATTCTTTTCTTCAACAATTTGACGTATTACTTTTTCTAATGTGTGAGAAGATTTTCTAATTTTTTTTTTCAGAAAAATGCATAATTGCATAAAAAATATAATAAAATATAAATATATATAATGTATATAATTTTCAAAAATGAAAGCAAAATAAAATTATCGAATGAACCAAATAATGTAACACAATCAAATGCAAAAAGTTATGAATGTTATGTGAAATAAATGTTGGCCCATAATTTTTACGAATTTATAATAAAATATTACGAATAGATTATGAGCATATGAAATATAATTTTCATAACAAGAATAATATTAACTGATCAATATTGAAGTAGTACAATACTGGGTACAATAAAATTATTATAAAATAATAATTAGTAACATAGGTTTCGTGGCAAGCAGGATCTTGGTTGCTAAATTTTTATATAAAATAAATTCAATAATTATGTCACCAACTACGTGCCATTTAATTTAACACTTTCAACGTAGTGGTTCTATAATAATTTGATATAAAATAATTTTTTATATCAATTAAAATCCCTTTTATTATCCTTTCACGCGAATTATATATTGCGAAAAATATTACCTCAACCAGGGATCGAATCTGGACCGTCTGCTTTCCGGGCAGGCATCTTATCCATTAGACCAAGGCTCGGCAAAACGCTAAAATTGGGCACGGGCGAGTTGTGCACATCTCAGGAGCGTATCGAATATTTTTTACTTTGGGATAAAGTTGCGCATTTCACTTACATGAATAGCGTTGCATGTATATATAAACAAGTATAGTGTATAATAGTCTTAAATTATTAGTACTTGAATCTTTGTAATATCATAAAATTTGTTTATAACAGTTTAGCTAAACCGTTTAAGGATGAAATATGCAAAAATATGTTGTAATATATAGAACTCAAAATGCAGTAAGTTCTTATGAATTCAACTTACATCTAGTTAATTTTTTTATTAGTCTAATAAAAAGAATTGTTTATTTAATGTTGTTGTAAGAATTGTTTATTTAAAATATAGACAGTTATTATTTCATGCTAATTCTGAGGTCTAAATTTGAGCGACACAATATTTTTTGACTCCTTGAATAGCACGTTCAACGAATAGACGTACTTGCTATCCTCTCTCCTCACTTTATTGCGCCTAGCGGTCTAACGCTAGCTCCAGCGCGCTCACTGTTGCTCGCGAGCATTTGGGCGCTCACGAGCAGTGCTCACTTGCTGACCTCTGCATTAGACCACTGAGGCTATGATAATATTTATCGCAATACTTATAAAGGGAGGACGCGGACTTGGGATCACCGATTTTGAAAAGGTATATATTAAAATACTCTACTAGAAAAGTACTTGAGCAAAAAGATAGGACGCCATACTCAACTGTTTTTGAGAAAAATCGGTTTAAAGTTTATAACGTTTGTTATATACCAGCCGCGTTAAACCCATTGTCGCCAAGATTGCGTAACTCGAGCGCTGTATTACCAATCGTAGTTCTGTATTACCAATCTGTCGACTCGAGACATCCAGACGTTTCGATCCATTTTCATCTTTAGTAGATAAATATACCCATAATAAGAATGATTTGAAATGTATTAGTCCACGACTTAGCCGATTCGCATCAATAAACGCAATGGTGCAATATCTCGAGCCTCTGTCCAAACAATTCCACAGCTGATGTAGGAGACACTGTATGATTAATATCATTTGAACCATTTATAATATATTCAACCAAATAAAGTTTTTTGATGTGTCAAAAAGTTAGAAGAACAAGGAATTGTTGGAGACTCACCTCGATGATATCGCTAATTATAACAATAAAATGTACACAGATGGAAATAAATACTGAATATTGTAATAGCATGGTCACAATTAAAAGAAATAAAAAATTTTTAACAAAGAAATAAGATAATAGTCGGTTAGTAAAAAAAAAGAAGTAAATATGTCTTAACTGTTTCGTGTCAATTATTATTATTATTAAAATGTAAAAGATAAATAACGAGGATAGAAAATAAAAAATTGTTATAAAAAAAATATGGTCACACGCTTATATATTGTTTATAACAGGGGTGTACATATGGCTAAGAAAATCTGTGTCTATTTCTAGAATTAATCGTTTATTGCAATTTTTCTCTACATCTAGAACTTTCACATTAGCCCAATCAAAATTGTGTCATACTCGTGTCATACTGTGAGCATACTCTGTGGTCAATAATGACTGAATGTGTAGAGGTATTCCACCTTGTGATTTCGATGTTCATTAATTCTCATTTTCAATTGTCTACTGGTCTGTCCCATGTAAGATACATCGCAATTCATACACTGTAGCTTGTAAATAACATTTTTTTAATCCAAAAGTGGAAGCCCTGCTTAAAATTTACTATAGAAAACTATAGAGAAAAATTCTATTTTAGTTTTTAATGAGCGTTTTGAATCGGTAAATCCCTGTGGCGCCCTTGCCCCCGGTTACTGCTCTGCTGCCTCGCGCGCTCGCCACCGAGCGCCACCGTCCACCGAGGAAGCAGACGTTGGTACCACGACTAGAGTGGTGACTTCCGCTTTCTTCCCCGTCGGCCATTATCATGCGCATTGTGTCGAACGGCCATTACGTGTCAGTCATCGGACGCGCAGCAGCCACACGTCTGGTAGAGACAAGGAAGAGAGAGACTCTGGCATCATCATCGTCGACGTGTTACTGTGTCGTGACCGGTACGTGACAGCCTGTGCAGTGTAAAGTGTCGTGTACGCGACGAATTCTGTGGAGTGTCGAAAGTTCTATCTCGCCGGCTCTGTGCGACCACGTGCGGCGCGTCGCACCTGTTGCGCTGAGTGCTCGCCGCTTCTCTCACACTGCGTGCGCCTCCACTTCTCTCTCTTGCGCGCGACACGCGAGTGCACTCGTGCTCTCTCTCTCTCGCTCGCGCATGATCGGCTCTTATCTCGCTCTCTCTCACGCGTGAGAAGTGTCTCTCTCTCTCTCTTTTGTTTGCTGTGTTCCGTCGCTCTCTCGCTCGTGAGCGATCAACCGAGTGTTTCTCTTTCGCTCGCGAGTGACGTCTCTACTTGCGTTTTCGCATGCGTCTCATCCGCGTCCTGCGTTTTTCCCGCATCGCCTAGTTCCGTCGTTTTTATTCGCGCTTACAATTGTGCCGTCATCAATTTCCGCGTCCGTTTTACCCGCGCCTGCGTTCCGTTTTGCTAGCACTCGTGTGCCGTCTCGTTTTCCGTCCGTGTCGCGTCTCTTTCTAGTCCGTGTTTTCCGAGCGTTTCGCGAGCGTCTTGCGTACAGCGTGCGTTTCAGGCGCTCCGCCTTTCTTTTGCGAACGATATATATTTTAAGTGTGTTTTTTCTTTTCCTTATTCTTTGCGCTTTCTCGTCTCTAGTGATTAGTTCTCAAACGTTCCTCCGTGTCCGCGGTGCCCTTGCTGGCATTGTACGTTACGTGAAAATAACATTGTCACGCGCTGTTCTCGTGTTCGCGGTGTCCCCCCCTGCTGGTATTGTACGTCTTCGATCTCTTTGTTCTGTGTTATTAGTTTTTAAGCGTTGTAAATATCGCGTCTTTGTTCTGTTAATCCTGCGACTTTGATACGTTCTAGATTTAACGATTGTGGCTCAAGAATAAACGTGACCGAGTCAGAACTTCGCGAGACGTTGCTGGCGACGGTCGGATAACAAAATCGTGGCATGAACTTAGTTATTCTGCCTACTCCTGCCTATCAGACCTTTCAGAGACTCGAGCCTGCCTTCCTCGGCAGGGCAGTATCAGCAAAGCCTTACTGGCAGAGCAATAATTCGCTACATCCCCATTTGCAATAGTTTTCAAGGTGAAGTAATGCATAGTTTTCAATGAGGATCTCACTGTTCTGGATCAATAGTTTCTAATATTTTTTGTTTTATAAATTTTCTTTTAGTTATCGATAGTTTTCGATGAGTGTTTTGACTCGCTAAATCCCCATCCACAATAGTTTCTCATGTGAAAAGGAATATAAGTTTGCAATATGAATTCCAGTGTTACCGATTAACAGTTTCAAATAGTCGAATCTTTAGGTTTATTAGAATACAACTATACAGAGTATCTCATTTTAATTGAAACAGTCAATTTCTGGAAATCATTAGAAAAAAAAGATTGTTTTTTAACCAAGTTTTATAACTTCAAAGAGAACATAAGATAGTGCCATTGGTTTAATCTTGGGTGTAAACAGAAATCTATATCTTTTATTACAGAATATTATTCTACATAATGAAACAAACAACTTTTGTAACATTTTTTTTTCTAAAAATTTGTGATTTTCAGAAATTAACTGTTTTAATTAAAATGGAAAATCCTGTATAATTACGGTTTGATTAATTAACTTAAAATATAAAATAAATCCCATAATATAAAAATATACACAAATAAGTTATGTAAAATAATAAAATATATATACATATACGAAGATAGTCTGAAAAGTTTTGAGCCTTAACATGAAGATGATGTTATTCGTCAAAACCATTCTAGTACTACAATAGTATATGCTTTGAAAGACTTTGGTGAAAATTTCAGCCATTTTGGACGCCCAGTTGTTGTTTGACAGTCGTTTGTGTCAGTCGATGTCAGTATTTTTGTAAAAATGGAAAAAATTGAATATCGTGCCGTGATTAAATTCTTACATTTGAAAGGCAATACGCCTGCGCAAATTAAAATCGAGTTGGACGCTGTTTACGTGGACTTTGCCCCATCATTTGCCACCGTAAAAAGACGGGCAGCTGAATTTAAATGTGGTCGTACCAGCTTGGCTGATGATGAGCGTTCGGAACGGTCAAAAACTGCGACCACCGCTGATAACATCGAAAATATTCACCAAATGGTACTGGACGACCGTCGAATCAAGATTAGAAAGATAGCAGAGGCTATGGGCATATCGAAAGAATGCGTTTGTCATATATTGACTGAAGAATTGGATATGCGCAAGCTATCCGCGTGTTGGGTGCCGTGCTTGCTCACTTTGGACCAAAAACGAATTCGAATGAACATTTCCAAGGCCCTGTTAGAGCGGTTCAAGCGAAACGAGTCAGATTTTTTGCGTTTCATAACTGTAGATGAAACCTGGATTCACCATTACAATCCAGAGACAAAAGAACAGTCAAAACAATGGACTGCAAAGGGTAAACCTGCTCCGAAAAAGGTGAAGACGGTTCCATCAGCTGGGAAGATAATGGCTGTTTTTTGGGATAGTCACGGAATTGTGTGTATCGACTATCTTAAAAAGGTAAAATAACGGGAGCGTATTACGCATCATTACTTGATAAGTTGAAGGCAGAAATTGCAAAAAAACGGCCGTATTTGAAGAAGGAAAAGAAAGTGCTGTTCCATCAAGACAATGCACCTGCTCACACTTCAGCAATCGTCATGGCCAAAATTCACGAACTGCATGAATTGATTGATCGTGATGACCACCCATCGTATTCACCAGATCTAGCTCCCAGTGACTTTTTTCTGTTTCCTAAGCTTAAAGTTTCGCTTGGAGGACAGAGATTTTCATCGAACGAGAAGGTATCGCATACGTAAACGCCTATTTTGCGGAGCAAGACGCCAACTACTATTTGGAGGGGTTAAAAAGGTATCGATGGGAAAAGTGTATCGACTTAAAAGGAGATTATGTTGAAAAATAAAACTATATTTGATCGAAAAAATACTTGTTTCTATATTAGGCTCAAAACTTTTCAGACTACCCTCGTACAAGTCTTGTCTGTTCAGCACAAGTTATAATATGTCGATTGTTTTTAATAAGCAGACTCTAAATTCTCGGCAACCCACTCGTGTAATGATTGTAGTGTTCCCATCCGTACGGACCATTCTGCAGAATCTCGCGCGTGGACCTCGTCAACTTCACGACAACGACGGCGCAAAGAGCGCACCGGTTCCAGTTGGCGTCCCAAATTTAAGAATGCGGATGACATTCCCAGGGAAGAATGGATGCGCAGTATTGTATGCAAAACGGAAATCTCTTAAAGCACGTCCCATTCGCGGTGATCCTGATCAAGAAACACGATAATCATCGTTTTCAAGACTCGCTTTACAGGATTTACTTGGGGGTGATATGGCGGTATGGTAGTATGCATAATTTTATGTTCCCTCGCGAACTCTCGAAGAATCCGGATGACGAATTCAATACCATTAGCAAAAATCGCGGCGTGCCCCAGTGCGTGAAAATCAGATCTTGTAGGGCTTCTTTGATTTTTGTTCCGTTGGCAGCGGAGTATGCAACACTCTATCCATTTAGTGAACAAATCCTGCACGACTAATACATACGCGAATCCCGATTTATTCCGCGGAACAGGATATCAGCAGCAATCACAATCCACGGACCTTCGATGACCCGATGACCCATCAGTCTCATCGTGTGAGTCTGCTCGACTTTTGTACGTTGACAAACGTACATCATAGCGGCGGAGGTATCGTGCGGTTTCTCGGTACATGCCAATACAGGTACAGGCCAATAATACGCGACCGCTAACCAATGATACGTCTTGTCGACCCCTAAATGTCCCGACTGCGGGTCATTGTGCGACTCACGTAAAGCCTTCGCTCGCAGTTCTCGCAGCAGCATTAACTTCCATCTATCTAAATCCTCTACAACATCGGAAACGAAATCTTTAGGCCTCAAATAGTATAGTTGCCTGTCAACGACTTTCCAATCCGAGAATCTCTTCGCGTTCCCGGCAACTTCCTTAAAGTGCTTCTTATACCACTCGTCCGTGGTATTCTCAAAAACTTCCGCATCTATCGCGGCCACGAGTCCTCCTCAAACATTTGTGATAAAGCGTCCGGCACGTGATATGAAGCTCTCTTTCGATGTATGATCTCGTAATTATATTCGAGCATCTCTACTCGTGCCCATCGAGCGAGCCTCCCTGTGAGGTTCTTCAAGTTGTGTAACCAACATAAACTATTGTGGTCCGTTACGACAGTAAATTTATACCCTTCCAGATAAGGTCGGAATTTTTGTATCGCCCACACAACCACCAAACATTCCTATTTGATAACAGAATACTTTCTTTCGGCATCCGATAGAACATGGCTCACGAACGCAATTGTCTGCTCTACGCCGTCAGTTTGTGTCAGAACGGCGTCCAAGCCAACGAGCTAGCATCTGTATAGAGCACGAACGGAGTTCGGAAATCGGGGCATGATAACGTCGGAGCGGCAGCTATTCGCTCGCTCTGTTCAAAAACGCGACTCTGCTCATCGCCCCATTCCCAACGCCTGTTTTTACGCAAAAGTCTCGTAAGCGGTTCGCTGAGGCAAAACGCGGAATAAAGCGCCGATACCAAGACGCCATGCCTAAGAGGCGGCGTAACTGCTGGATATTGTGCGGCACTAATCAAGGATCGGTCGAGCCTTCTCGGAATCGACCGTCACCCCCCCTTGCTCTCCACGATAAATCCCAAATATCGAACCTGCGAACGACCAAATTCGCACTTCTCCGGATTGATCGTAAGGCACTGAAACCCTATCTAACATCCGTTTTAACCACTCTAAATGCATCTCAAATGTGGATGTGGCGACAATATTGTCGAGGTACGCAAAGGCATACGATTTCACTTCCGGTCCGATAATCCTGTCTAACAAATGCTGAAAAGTCGCGGGTGTGCCTGTTAATCCGTACGTAGAGATTCTCCTTTGCCAATGGTATTTGAAAGTATGCCTGGCTTAAATCGATTGTGGAAATGTACCGCGCCACTCGTAATTTGTCTAAGATCCCATTCATATTCGGCAGCGGGCAAGCATCCTTTTTACGCTAATAAACGTTATTAATTTTCCGAAAATCGAGACAAAAGCGGTATTTCCCGTTCAGCTTTTTCATCATAACGATCGGATTCGACCACTCGCTGAATGACTGTTCGATTATGTTGGCATCTAACATTTTATCGACCTTCTCGCGAATAGCCTCCTGCACCTTCGGAGAGATCAGATAACAGCGCTGCCTTATAGGCGGATTCCGATCCACGTCAATTCTATGCTCTGTAAGAGAGGTAACGTCCAGGCTCGCGACGTCTTTCGGTACGGTATTCTCGAGAAATTCTTGTAATCGACGTTTCGACTAATCTGACGTTAATTCGGCTAACCCGCTTTTATTATCGACTGGTTCCTGCGTATCAAAGCGGTATCGGATTCTCGATTCATTTGAAAAGCACCAATCAGTTGCAAAATCGAGATTAACACCGAAAGTACACAGAAAGTCTGTATTCACGATACACAGTATGGCCAGGCTCGGCAATAAGCACGCGGAAATCTCACACTTACGACTTCTCAATAACATCGGCACTTCAACTTCTTCCCTAATTTCCGCGACCCCCGCTGTTTTAATGCGGAAACCTCTATCATGTATATGTTATGTCCAGGGGACTTCACGAATTCTTCTCTTTCGGAAAAAAACAACGGCTGCTAATCTGAAAACGAAGCGCTTCGAACGATCTAAAAAAACCCTAAATAAATAAACAAAAATTCCTCTCGAGATATGTCTCACTATCAAAAAAAAAAATAATTCTTGGGATAAACAGCTTTGTCGGCACCAACAAGTTTATGACATACCAATAAAAAAAATAATATTAACAAAAGCAAATTCCTAACGGATAAGAAACGCGTCGGATCGTTCGAGGGTGACACTCCCCAAATTGGTGGGGAAATTAAGGGAATCAATCAAGAAGAAACGATTAGCGGCCGTTGGCGGCCACACCAATGAATGATTGAGGGTATGGAATGGCGGGAAAATTTTTATTAACTAATTCCATCATTCGCTAGGAAATCTGGAAATATAAAAACAATCACAATTCACAGAACACTGCTCCCCTCCTTCCTCTATACTCACAATTTTTCTAAACTATCATTCGACAAGCCAACGCGGAAATCCATCACGCCCTCAGATATTCCCAGATATTCCATAAAATCCAGATTTTCTTTTGTTTGTTTGTTATTTATTATTATTCAAAATTTACGTATAAAAATTTTTCTTTTTGTAACCAGTTTTTCGACACTTTAATGTACACAGTAAAATTTGCGAATAACATTGTAATTCTTTTTTTTTTTATTATTATTAAATCAGTTAACTCGAATTCCGTCTCAATTTATTTACCCGAAAACTTGACCCCGAACCATTCACGGCTCCCTGAGGATCGTATGAGGTCCTTGGTAAGAGAGATTCGATTCTCTCACCAAAAAACGGACCATCGATAGCGCTGGCGCAGGTAAGGGTTATAACGTCATGACGCTGACCCGATTCCTGCTCCCTTAACGCGCGTTCGACTCGCGGTTCGACCTCACGACGTCGTTCCGTGAGAACAGAAAAGGTTCCGTGCGTCCACCCGAGTTCTCCTCCTCCTGACGAAAGATATTACCTTTCCTCTAGAATCACGGACGTAACAGAGCTAGAATAAAAATTGGGGGCTTGTCCGGGATATAAAAAGTGCGATCTTTAGCGGGAATGAGTACAAGGTCAAGTTCGAATAAGTCCGAAATAGATGAACTTTATAAATTTGGTTTAGAGAGTGGCGGTAAACCCAAACCACGCCCATCGAAAATGATACACACATCTATCCCATCTAAATTCCTCGCTTCCAAACACATCACCTTTTCTCTGGAGGACACTTCGATAGCGGAGGAGCGATTTGAAACTGTTTGTGAAACATTTGAATCTAACATTTCCACACGCGAAACGTTATCAATTAGTAATAATTCTGATAATTTTGACGAAAAAGCAAAAAACCTAGAATCTTTAAAAATGGCGCAAAATAATCCTTTCGCTACGCTAAAGTACGCCGTCGACGCCATTCCATACTTTGACGGACAAAATATTCCATTGAATTATTTTATCGAGGGTTGCGAGGAGGCGAAATCTATGCTTCCTGATGAGGCTGAGCCTCAATTTGCTAAAATCATTAGAACGCGTATAATCGGAGAAGCACGTCGAACCATTCAGGATCAAGACTTTAACAACGTTGCCCAAATCACTAAATATTTAAAACAAATTTACGGTCCTTCGAAAAATGTCTATCAACTACAAGGGGAATTGGGATGTGTCTATCAAGGGAACGACGAAGACGTAATAACATACGCGAATAGAGTGAAAATTTTGGGGAAGCAAATACTCGAAGCATATCAAAGTTCGGGATCTTCTCTTCCCGAACAAAATATTAAAGATTCATTAAAAAGGGACATATGTAAATGCTTTATCAAGGAATAAACTGGAGATCGAACAAAGAATATTAAGAAATTCACAGATGGATGTTAAAGCAACTGTAGCCGACGCGATACGCATAGAAAGAGAATTACGCGCAATGTCAGATTTACGGCACGGTAATATCGCAAAAATGCAAAATATTAGCTTATAACGCGAAACTTGCCAAATTTGTTATAAAAACGGACATTTAGCCAGTAACTGTAGAAAATTCATTCAAAATTCACAGCAGAATTATGAAATACTAATTTGTCAGATTTGTAAAAAACATGGTCACGATGCTAGTAAATGTCGACTGCGCGACCCGCAATCACGGCGAACTGTTAACGTGATACGAGAAAATATGATTGTCTGTCAATTGTGCTTTAAAACCGGTCATAACGCGAAGTCATGTCGTAGTACTAATCAAAATAAGTCTCTCTTAATTTGCCAGTGATGCGATAGACAGGGACACTCAGCTAATAACTGCTGGAAAAATCAAAACGAATTGCGCACGACAGAAAATAAGGCAAGAATTATTTGCCAAAATTGTAATAATGTAGGGCACACTGCTAGGGATTGCAGATCCAGAATGGATCGAACTACGAGCAATAATAACACATCATTTTGCCGATATTGTAAAACGCAAGGGTATTTCCTCGAAAACTGTGAGTTGCGCATCGCAAGTAATAATCGAAGAATGGCAAAAGATTCGGTAAACTTCAACGGCTCCTCGAAGCCGGGCGTGCAATAGGGGACTGAACGGATTCCACGCCCGTCGACATCTTCGGCGCCTCAATAAAAAACGCTCCGAACTCAGTCAGTAGCGGTAAACCTCGATAAACATAGTCGCCGACCGTTCAGGTAGAAATACGAAAAACAGTCCCTCACATAACTCTTATGTTAGACACCGGTTCTGGACCTAATATAATTAAGAAAAATTTTATACCTGAGGGAGTACGCATTAATTATTCTAACATACTAAAATTAAACGGAATAAATGATTATCCAGTCTCTTGGCGAAACTCTTTTCGACACCCTAGTAAATTTCCACATAGTACCCGATGACTTTCCGATACTACAAGCTGGTATATTAGGCAACGATTTCTTTAAACAAACATCATCGAAAATTGATTACGCACAAGGATGTATAGATGTATCCGGTATCCAAATACTTTTCTCTCGCCAGAAACTATAATGGTATCACCCAGATCAGAATCGTTATTTTATGTAAGAGTTGGCAACCCTAATGTCAAAATTGGATATGTACCGAAATTGAAGATAACTTACGGAATCTATCTAGGGGACACGACCATGGAAAATGTCTCAGGGAAAACATACTTAAATATCATAAACACACGGGACGAAGAAGTAGAAGTCAGGGTGCCGACCATAAATCTTAGACCTTTGAATGAGATGGTCGACCTGTGTGAAACCAGAATAAAGACATTAGATTATCAGAAGGAATTAACAAATTCACACCCGAATTCCTTTTCAAAGGAAACCAAACATATTGATCCTAAAGAAGAATTGTTAAACGAAAATCAAAATAAAAATGTAATAAGTAGAGAGGAAGACGAGATTATGAATATAAATGACATTGAGATTGTTAACGAAAATAAAAATGAAAATAAAAATAAGAATGAAAGAGAGAATGCAAAGACGAAAGAGGACGGAATTATAAATAATAAAGAAATTAAAATCTCCATAAATGGAGATAAAATTTATAAAAATTTAAAGGTCAAAAATAAAAATGAAATTAAAATGAGAGGAAGTAAAAGAAAAAAATCTTAATTTCGATACTCAGCGAGAGGGAAATTACCAAACCTCCCCTGAGATATCCTCTCATCCCAAAATTCTCGGAGAGGGAAGTTACCAAACCTCGTCCGAAAATTTAAAAAATTCTGAGTTTCCTCGAGATGAAAATTGTCGAATCACTTCAAAAGATAATTCTGGAATTGCCGATGGAAGTTTCCGCACTCCCGGAGCATTTTCCAGCTCCATCGGTTACGAGGAGGGAAATTACCAAACCTCACTACGTAACCCGATTCTGTCTAAAGGAAAACGACAATACTAATTCCTTAGTCTCGTTAAAAGGTGTTAAATTCCCGAGAGTTGGGATGATCTCGGAAAAAACGGAATGGAAAAAATGAACCCTCTCATATTACCGCCAAAGAGCTTATAGAAAGAATACAAATAAATAAGTCGAATGAAATAAATCTTGGCAAATTAGGAATGAAAAATAAAAAATCCTCTTCGAGAATTTTTAAATTAAGACAAAATCAATCTCAAGAGATAGTAGACGAATGTATACGAAAGCACAAATCAAAACATAAGGAGAAAGTTACACAAGGGATACAGAGTAATAGCAAAGAAAACGGAGCTACCGAATGCTTAATTCTATCGGGAGAAAACCAAAGGGATAGTCTCACAAAAATTATAGGATTATTACGACTAGAGCACTTGAATAATTATGAAAAGCAGAATGTGATAAATCTTATAATTAATAGTCAAGACAGGTTTCATATACCTGAGGAAAAACTGAGCAACTAATGTTCTACAACATAAAATATCTACAACAGATGATCAGCCGATAAACACCCGTCAGATTTCCGCGTATAGATTTCCGCAAATTCATAAAGAGGAAATAAACAAACAAGTAGAAGAGCTGCTAGAAGGGGGCATAGTAAAACTTCACAGTCGCCTTACAATATGCCCATATGGATTGTACCCAAGAAAGAGGATTCTCAAGGAAATAAACGATGGAGAATGGTATTAGATTTCCGGGCATTAAATGACAAAACTATCGGAGATGCGTATCCACTACCAAATATAGTTGATATCTTAGATCAATTGGGAGGAGCTCGATATTTTTCGGTATGCGATCTAGCCTCAGGATTTCATCAAATAAAAATGGATCCAGCAGATAGCCATAAAACCGCTTTTACAACACCTTTTGGACATTATGAATTTGATAGAATGCCATTTGAATTAAAAAATGCTCCTGCTATCTTCCAACGATTAATGGATTTAGTTTTATCAGGATTACAAGGAAAGGAACTATTTGTTTATATGGACGATAGTTATTTACGCGTCATCATTAGAAGAGCATGAGAGAAAATATAATCTTTTAATAGATAAACTACGCGAAGCAAATTTAAAATTACAGCCCGACAAATATGAATTTTTAAAATCCGAAGTAACTTATTTGGGACACGTTATAGACAAAAAACGGAGTTAAACCCGACCCAAAAAAATTAGAGGCTGTACG